GGCACTCTTTGCATCTGGAGGAAAAGAGGTTTAAAAGGATTACAGTTAGAGCTGTGAAAATGTGGAACAGACTCCTGCAGGAGCTAGTTCTAGCTAACTCAGTAAATTGTTTAAAAAAAATCTGGATATATTCCTAAATGCAGAGAATATTACTGGATATTAAGTTCTTATAGGTATATTAAGCACCAGAGATTGTTGATCCAGGGAATATCCGATTGCCATATGGGATCAGGAAGGAATTTTTTCCCCTGTTGGAGCAAATTGAACCGTGCTTTTTAGGTTTTTTTTGCCTTCCTCTGGATCAACAGGGGGTAATTGTGGGCATAGAGTTATTTTTAGGCTTTAGGCTTTTTTTATTTTCATATAGGTTGAACTCGATGGACATGTGTCTATTTTCAACCTGACTAACTATGTAACTATGTAAGTATTGTATAACCCTCGTCCAGCATTTTGAAGTCTACAATGTGATTTCTTTTTTTTGCTTTCTGTTGTGTAAACATTGCAGCTATTAATATAATTCAAGCAGCAGCAGAGAGTGGGCGGTGTACAGGAGAAATACATTATCTTCTTTTACATCTGCCAAGGTTTGTGTGACAAAAAAATTCCCAAACTCTACTGTGAAAGTTCAACTAGTAGGTCACAGGTTTTTCTGTGAATGTAAACAATAGTCTTAGAAATAGTATAGAGGGCTGGATTTCCTAACCTGAAATGATCTTGACTAAGCTACTTGTGTGATTGCAAAATTCTAAGTACAAATAGAAATAAGTTGATTGTCACCCAGTTTGGCCGATAACAGTCAGCACAACGAATGACTATGTCTCCGTGTCTCCGGGCTATTCCTGACCTTTGTAGACACTCTAGAATAATAAATCTCAGGAAAGCAATCAATATGCTATGATTGAATTTACATGACAGCTGATATTGTTCCACAAATATAAGGACAGGCCGGGGGGTGTTCAGAGCAAAATGTCTGAATCTAGCCAGGATGGCAGAGTTGTATGCCCTAGATTCAGATATAATACTGAATTTCTTCCTCTAGGGGGAAGTGCTGAGAGGGCTGGAGGCTTGGAGGTAACAAGCCCAGCTGAAGCTAGCTGGCTTGTTAGGGCCTCTACAAGAACTTCCAGCCTACTAAGAAAGGAGCGCCACCCTAGAACCAGTCTGTGTGTCTGGCAGACTGGGGGGAACGGATCACCTGTGTGGTGAGCAGCCTGTGTGGCCAGGGGAGAAGGATGAGCCTGTGTGTCTGATACAGCCTGTGTGGGAAAGGTTTTGTTAAACACAACCTGAAGTCGGAGAGACTTTGGAAATGTTATTTTGCCGTTAGCTAAAAGGTTGTACTTTATGTTGGAGAAACCCCTGTGAAGGAAAAACCTATGTGAATGTTTAAATAAAAGTGAGCAGGAAGCCCTAAAAAGAAGTTGTTTACGAGTGGAAGTGTCCTGAATGCACTACCATTTGAAGCTAATCCTCACACTATGTATATGGATAGTATTTAAAGACTTAAATAGCAGGTGTTTATATATTAAAAGTGACTCGTGCTATTCATCTTGCTACTCTGTTTACCGGTACATATGGGGTACATTGTGCATAGGGGCTGTATTTATTATTGCTCTCTAGCAATCCCTAGATAGCATCTGTGAAAACTTCTTGTAAAACTCTGGTACAGTCATGGGGGAGATTGGGACTCACTTTCAAAATGGTTCATTTTTTGTTCAAAACAAAGGTTTTGTAAAAAAATAAAAATATATATAATAAAATATACCATTCATACCATTATTCATCCGACCAATATTAACATAGTCTGCTCACAAAATATCTGGATTTACTGGTATGTTTTATGTAGCTAAAAAAAAGAAAACAATATGGAAAAAAACATATAAAAAGCAATTAACCTTATATAGTGAATGACCTGCTTTCTTTCAGATATTAATACATAATATTCCAATTATGATACTTTATTAATATATAATACAATTCCTAACAATGGACTTCTCTTTTTTGGTCCCCTTTGGTCTGTTACATATACAAATGAAAGGGTTTTGTTCGATAAGTGCAAAAAATACCTTTAGAACCAATACCATTGATCCTTCCAGAAATGCATAGCTTCTTTGTATCTTGTTAACTCTGCATATGTTATCTCAAGGAGTCTAATGAGGCCTCCCAATTCTTAGCTACAAAACACCTCCCCCTATGTTGCGGGTATAAGGCGAGGACGAAGGATCATGTAGTTTAGCAAGAGACAACTGGGCTGACAACTGCAGTCCAAAAAGTCACTGTGTTGTCAGTCAACAACAGGAAGACAAACAACAAACATTCAGGTTGCACATCACTGCCTTTCCTCTCAGTGAGCTTTATTGTAGCAGCAACATGGCTTAGAATGCACAAATTCTACCGCCGGGCATGGCTCCTTCTCCTGATACTACGTTTCACCCGTGGTTAGGGCTTAATCATGGGGTTTAAGCCTAAGCCCTCATTCACATGAAACACGGCCGGCCCGTACAGATCCGTGCTGCGGGGGGCGTGGCCAACCGTGGTGGAAGATGGCCGCATAGAAGAAGAGCTCCGGATTCGTTTCCACAGCAGGGCATAGCGACACGGCACAGGGGAACGATAACGGAAGATTTCTTCTTCTACGCTTTCCTCAGTCACCCAGGACCAATATGAACAAACGTAAACACAAAGGGGGGCCGCGGAAACTTACTGATTTCTTCAAAACAGCCGGCCCTCACAGACGCCAGAAAGATGGTGGCGGCTCATCTCGAGTAACGGCCTCCTTCACTGTCTCCACGAAAGGGACGGGGAAAAAACTAATGGCGCCAAATGAGACCCTAGCTGACAACTCGGGCAGTGCAGGCTCATCCACTGAAGGCAGCCCAGGGAAGCCAAAATCGAAGAGAGTCACTCCTAATCCCAGGGAGAGAGAGGTAAGCAGTGGCTCTATGCCCCCTCAGGAGAATTATGATATTGCTGACACTCCTGATGATCACAATGCATTGCTGGACGCATACCCCACATCTAATCAGCCTGTCATGGACACCACATTAAAAGATATGCTTCTGTCTCTCCGCAATTCACTGCATGATGATTTTACTTCCTTAATTCACAAAGTTACTGTGGAAATTAATAATTTGGGAGACAGAGTGGACTCTATGGAAACTAAAATGGGTGATTATGCTGAAGCGCATAATGAACTGGTGGATGCCCATAAAACTACAGCAGATGAATTCCCCCGTCTTAAAGATAAAATGGCGGATATAGAAGACCGTGCCCGCCGCAATAATATAAAGCTAAGGGGTGTGCCTGAGACAGTATCTTCACCAGACCTCAGAGGATACGTTCAATCTATGCTTGGAGGCCTTTTCCCATCATTACAAAATTTTGAATTAGTGGTGGACAGAGCACACCGCCTTCCTAAGCCTACTTACCTCCCTGACAAGCTGCCTAGGGATGTAGGGATTAAGATAGGATCTCAGATCCACAAAATTGGTCTTTTTGCGGATGATATAATCCTATCATTATCTGAGCCGGCTTCTTCCCTGGCTGCTGTACAGGCTACACTCCAAATGTTTGGTGAACTATCCTACTATAAAGTTAATGCAGGGAAATCTTTGGTCTTACCACTTAATTTGAAACCAACAGATCCGTGCTGCGTGCACGGCCGTATCGGGTAGCTCCCAGGAAGGACAGATGCTGAGTGTGATTTGTATGCAGCAGCCTGTCCTTCTCTATGGGAGTTTGCGGCCATACACTGACCTACGATCACTCGACCAGCACGTCCGTATGGGTGCGGGTGTCCCTGCTCAGATGCACACAGGATCCATCCTGTCAGCGTACGAGTACGGACACCCGTACGGACGTGCAGGTCGGGTGAGCGTAGGGCGGCGTACGGCCGCATACCCCCATATAGAAGGACAGGCTGCTGCGTATAATCACATGCAGCACCTGTCCTTCCCGGTAGCGGCCCGATACGGCCATGCATGCAGCACGGATCTGTACGGGCCAATTCGTGTGAATGAGGCCTTAATATTGATGAAATGCATCAGAAAAAGAGCCATACCCAGTGGGGGGTTTGTGCATTGCAAACCATGTTGCTGTTACAATACAGATTGTTGAGATAAAAAGAGAACACAGATGAGTGCAACCTGATTATATTTTGAGGGAGGAGATGGATCCTATGTCTGACCTGGTGATCCATGGCCAGTTAGTGCAATACGTTTGTCGCCTTGATTGATTCCAACTTTGGGGGATCTAGGAAATTAGAAGCTCAGTGTACTTTTGGCAGATTAATGGATATTTTTCTGTACTCATAGGGACTTTATGGGTTCTACTGCATGTGTGTTGTTTTTTTTTTGCCATGACATAATTTACACTATAAGCTATTTTCAGTTCCTTATTATTATACATGTCTGTAATAAAAGTGTAAGGGTTGCACACATCCACACTATCTTTCTGTGGTAGAATAAAATGACTTAAAATGACAATAAACTCAGGAGTTAAATCTTAAAAATGCTCTCAAGTACCCTAACAAAAATGCAGGTTATTTGTGTATCACTCAGCTGTAGATCCTCATATCATCTCTGAATTGGTGCTGACGCTGTCCTTCCTTCTGGAGGGTGGCTACTTATGTTTCCCATGGTCCCTGTGTGTGTTGTAAAGTAGCCACCACTCCAAAACTCACTCCCATGATGGACTACAATTTCAATACAAATTAGTATATTCTAACTGAGATTGTAGTCCATCACAGGAGCGAGCTTGGAGCGGTGTCTACTTTACAACACACACAGGGACAATGGGGAACAAAAGTAGCCACCATCCAGAAGGATGGACAGTGTCAGCACCAATTCAGAGATGATTTGAGGATCTACAGCTGAGTAATATTAAAAGTTTTTATATTTGAATGCATTTGTAAGATTTAGCTCCCGAGTTTAGTGTTGCTTTAAATCTGACTGGCTGCTATGAGAGACAGAGACTGTTTTCTTGGAGATATTTTTAGACAGAGGGCTAGTGCTGGCTATTTGAATAAAGAGAACCCTTCATTGTGCTGAATGGTACGGCAGAAGCTGAGAAAGTGGGGTATCCTGTGTGGTACCCGGGGGGCAGATTAAAGCATTGTTTAGTCTGTATTCTCCTCTGCGGCCCCAAACGTTTCCTCTTGGCAGAGAGAAGTAGAGAAAGGAAGTAAGCACCATGCCATAGACCTGTAGAGAGATAATGGACATAGATATTGAGGCCACTCATAGATGGTTATATAATGACAACAATGCAACAAATATGTGCAAAATAGCTTTTGAAATATATCACTTGTTTCTGTGTTCTAGTTCCATTGATCTGTACGTTTTTATAATACCACAGCAACGTCCCATGAGCCTGTAGCTCACACTACCTGAACGTTGTTGGTTAAAGCTCAGTGTTCAAGTATTTAAACTTCAATCCTTATATTTCTGGCAAAATGGAGGGTTACTGAAATATTATTTGGCTATGCGCACATCAGACAGTGGTTAGAAGCCAATAGTTGTTTCAGCTCTTAACCACTTCATCTCTCGTACCTCTCAGAACAATTCATACATTTCTGCTAAGGGCCTGTTCATTCAGTGATAACATTGTTATTACATAAGATAACAATGTAATACTATGGATAACCATGGCTTAAAAACAGCAAAGGTTTTCAAAGTGCAGTTTAGGTGTAGTGGTAGTAAGTGTCCTTGGAAGACACTCGTCCTTGCTTATTATTGCATCCAATGTATAGTGCACCCAGACTGCTGCATGCAGATATTTGGAAGTGCACTAGATGTGAAAAAAGCATGGGTCTGAAAAAGCACATACAGTCAAAGAGAAGAACTGACTTTCTCTGTGAAGGCCGCACAGTGTAACAGCTGTTTAATTCCACATGCTCAGCACTGAACAGGTAGTTGAAGTCTTTCAGACTTTGGCCTGGATTTTGTTCCACATGAACACTTTCCCTCAAGCTTTGTTTATTTTGTCATTTCTTCCTTTCCTTCTATGCTCTTTTTTTTTTAAACAAAGAATATTTGAAGATTTCCTTGCAAAATCCATCTCCTATTTGGGAATCAGCTGTATAATAGATGAGCCACAGAGAATATCAAATGTTGTTTTAACAAAGAGATGAGGCTGAAATGAGGAAACCACAATCAACAAAGAAAAACACTTAATCAAGAGCATCCCTTCTAGGGAACTTATCTCACAGATTGCTGCTCATCTTGGAAAGCCTCAACACATATGCTATGCTATTTGAAGCAACAGGCATTATCTCCAATGCAGTCCTCTCTTTGTTGCTCGGTTCTCTCCTGCTGAAACTACAAATCCCATCATGCTGCTGCCTCTGGTAGTCCTGCCTCTGGCTTGCAATGCCTTTCAGCACAGCTGGGGAGCCAAGGTTACCTACTCCTGCCCTAGGGGGAACCAAGGTCGTAACTATTGAAGCCTCTGCAGTCCTGATTTGCTCACTCCAATGGGAGAATAGCTGCTGCTATATTCATATATGGTTACAATCATCCACATAATTGCAATATGCTAATCCTGATGAAGCCACAGCTGTGGCGAAACGCGTAGAGAATTTTCCACAACAGTAACCGTCCATTGAGTCCAACTAAGGACTCACTGACCATAACTTGTCATCATCTCTGTATATGAGTATACGAGGTTTATGCTTACCAAGTTTAGGCTGAGCACCAATATGCATATATGTTTTTATGTTTTGTATTTTTAATGTCTTTAATAAAATATTATATTTTTACACAATTTTAAGTGTCTGTGAAGGTCCTATAATTGCCTAAAAATCCCTCCATTACTCCCAGCCCTTAGCTTTTTGGCTTCGGAACTGTCTGTTGTCTACATATTGCTTTATGGGTGTGGCTGTAGGACCTTCCACTCTTGAACATAATCTTATTACTAAATTGAGCTTAGGAGAATGTATAATATTATTTTAACAAAGAGATGAAGCTGAAATGAGGACACTCATAACCACAATCAACAAAGAAAAACACTTAATCAAGAGCATTCCTTCTAGGGAATTTATCTCACAGGACACCTTATGGTTAAGTGCCTTAAACTCGTAAACTTTTTCACAATAATAAATGCCGATCAGATAAATATACACGGCCATAGATAGAACTTGCTGGAATTGATCTGCAAATACCAGAATTTTCGATACGGTTGCTGGGTCATTACCAGGATGCAAAGGAACCCAGACATGTATGGCTACCCTTAGTCACAGCTACAACTCTGCAATCAGCAACACTTCCGATTCCTTGTGGGCTGCTGCAGATAACTGCTTTCTGTGCTTTTACACAGAGTGCAGCAGTCCGTATCTGAAGCCTACTGCTGGTGCTGAAGTCACTGCAGATGTATCTTCCTGGTGCATGTGTTTTAAAATAAAGCGACTGAATCACCTGCAGTGAATGTTTGGTGAATTTCACACTTTATGATTTTGAACCTTTGTTTACTCTTCACACTCAATTAAACAACTTGCTTTTGCTTGAACCTTCAGCTGGGCTTTAAGTTATCCAATTTACAAAATTAAGTAAGTGTGTAGTGTGAAAGTCTACCACAATGGATATATGTATTTGAATGCATTGTTTGGGTATGTCTTGCAGAGGTTTTGACCAGTTTTCTTCGATCTGACAGATAAATATGAACCAAAATCTATTACAAGCATTTTGCTATGTTCTCATTGTGGTAGGTGGTAACGAGCACTCTGTATCAGTGTTCTTAGCATTTTGTCTGTGACTGAACTGTATGTGGCTGAACTGCCATCTCAAGAGAAAACTGTAGTCAGTCATTGCTGAAAAGTCACATCCATCATTCGGTCTGCAGAAAGACCCTGCCTACTAACATGTGTAGTGACCATTTCGTGGCTCAGCCCACGCTTGAGTCCACCTGTTTGGATCCACCACTTTACAGATGCAGTGTGAAACAAGACATCACTATGTGTAAGCAGTTTTATGTAAGATCACTGATGAATTTTGTACCTATTGGCTTTTAGTTTAATAAACGGTCACTTGTTTTTTTACACACTGTATGTCTTTAGAAAAGATATTCCCCATTTATCACACAAGAGTAAAGATGGCATAGCTAAAGTATTGTATGTAGCAGGGAGCACATTTCTAAGATTTGTGCACAATATTGGCGCAATATCATTCCTAATTTCCAACGACTAGCTGGTAGTAGTTAGTTACATTCAACCAGACATGTTCTGTAATGTTGAAGACATTTTACAGCTTATCCAAGACACCTCTTCAGTTCTAATGAGTGCCAGGAGCACACATCAGCATTTATATCCACACAATCACCCTAATCCAATGACCACAGAATTACACTGTTCTAATTATATCATCTCAATCCTTGGTCTCATAGGTGTCAATCCTTCAATTTACATAACAGTGTAAATTATTTTCAAATGAAGAATATGGACACCGTCACGCCAATAGCAAATGGAATAGCACTAAGAGTGTTATGCTTTTTTTGCATGTATGTCAATAAATAGACGTATTCTGTTTGCTATTGGAGTGCCGGTGTCCATATTCTTCGGATCATAGAGACGGTGGCCATCCATCGACTACCGTTGCACCCACCTTATCTTGATGGAACAGCGGTCAGGAGTGCGATGGGCATATGGATTATGAATTATTTTCAAATCACAGGAGTAGAGATGTTGAAATGGTATTATATGTGGAACACAGATGGTGTTGATGATCCCCAACCCCATCTAGGGATGGTTGTTCCATGTTGATGTAAACGACTGGGTGTTACTCCCCTGAATGGGTGAATGAAATGAAACATGCCTGTGCTATGAGCTCACCTGGGTCTCCCGCTGTAACTAACCTGTATATGGAAGAGGTGGAGAAGAAAGCCTTGAACTCTTTCAGTGAAGAAACACCATGTTCAGGGATATGGATGATATGTGGGTCAAATAACAATATCAGAAAGCATATTGAAAGCATAAACTGAGTGGATAGAAACATCACGTTTACATGGGAAGATGCGCAGAATAACAAATTACCATTTTTTTTTACTGTTTATTACATGTAAAGAAAGGGGGTGCTTTGGAGACTGAGGTCTACAGGAAACCTATGCACACAGACCCATATCTACTTTTTGACTGCCACCACCCAGTGGAACGGAAACTGGGAGTTATTAAAACTTGCAATACTGGGCTGAGATGGTAACAATAAACACACAGGGGGGAATCTATCAAAACTGGAGCAGAAATAATCTGGAGCAGTTGCCCATGGCAACCAATCAGCATCTCTCTTCAGTTTGCTCAAGTAAGATTTGAAAATGAGACAGAGAAGCAGATTGGTTGTAGTGCAAATCTGCTCCAGTTTTATGGAGCAAATCTGCTCTCACATAAATGCCCCCCACAGTCTAGAGACGAAGAACGCAAACATCTCAAGAGTACTTTGTAAGGTTGTAGCTTTTGTAGCTACACAGACGAGACCTTTGTTAAATCATTCAAAAGGTCAAGTGAACAAATCCCATCAAACAGAAGAAAGAAGCAGATGACACAAAGTAATATAGTCATCCAGTAGTGGCTGCAGTGTCAGAAAAGCAATTTTTAACAAACACATTGCATTCCTGTGTATTTCAATCCCAGCAATACACTGAGAAAGAAGCTTGTCCATCCAAAAGACCCAATGCACAAACACAAGCGAAATAACTTGGTATATGCAGTGCAGTGTAGTGAGGAATGCAAAGACCTACACATTGGGGAGACAAACAAATGTTTCTAAGCAAATTGATGACCCAACACAGACAGGCCAATTATACAGGATAGGACTTAGTAGGTTTGGAAAAATTGAAGGAAAAGTGACAGTCTTTCAAGGACAGTGAGGCGCACAGTTTGAACAGAGAGCACAATTGGTTTACAAGAGGAGTGAAATAGTCCATTAATGTCATAGTGGAACCACCACCATTAAACAAGGGTGGGGGCCTTTAACAACATCTGGCTTCCACATACCATTTTAATGTCTCCACTCCAGCAATTTGACACTTCACACCTTTGGCTATATAAACCAAAGGATTAACACTTGTGCAGACTTTCTGCTTCAAGGGACAAGATTATGTTATTAGAACAGAGTGGTTCCACAACTTTTTCACCTCCTATCCTGTTCTTGGACAGTCATTGTGTGCCTTAACACATTCCATCGTGATTAAATTAAGGGGACTGTGCTACCTGTGTGGATATAAATGCTGGGGAACTGTTTGCTTATGTAGTCACATATACTATCATCATACTATCATCATCCCTATGTTATCTTCTGCTCTGGATTTGATAGTGATCTTTAAACTGGTTTTGGTGGATGAGGAACTCCATACTTCTAGAATTTAAAGTAAAGCTATGCTCAAAAGCTTCAAAGAAGCTGAATGCCAGGCAAACAGTACATAGACAATTGAGATATATACAGAATGTAGAGCCCTTCTACTTGTCAACAAGTATTTCTGTCCTGAGGTTTCCCCAGTCCAGAGACAGACAGCAGAGCCAATTTAGCGACATGACTTTTCTCTACTGCAGCTCTGAAATATAGCTTGGTCATCTCGCTGCCCACAGCCTGTGACTGAACAATGAAAGAGCAGCAGCAGAGTGATGAAATCATTCCTCTGGTCTCTCCTCCTGTCAGTATCTTTCTTTTAATCACAAGCTCGTGCAGCACACATGACTGGCCCCTAGTGCTGCATCTCCCCCTCCCAGAGTTCTTTTGTTCAGGGGATACCAAGCCACTGATACCAAGTCAAATTCAGGTAGTTGCAATAAGCACTAGACTTGTGCGATTCGTTTAGTTCCAAATCAAAATTCGGACAAATTTCAGAAACGTGGACATTTGGATACATCCGAATTTCCGAATCCCAATGCATCCAAATGCGTCCGAATCTGAATTTCGCATCCTGTCCGAATTTCGTTCAAAAAACGAAACTAAATTGGACATGTGACTTTTCTGGCCAATCAGATGTGTTTTTCAGTTTAATGCATCCAAATGGGTCCGAATACAAACTTTTGTTACGGCAACACGGGAGCCAAATATATACATATAATTCCAAAGCTGAGGCTCCTAGACCCGAATGGCATTCAGGATCCAAATTTGCGAATTGCATTCGGGAACTCCCGAGTCGGGTCGGTATATGGCTCCTAGACCCGTATAGCATTCGGGAGCTCCCAATTGCAATTCGGAAATTCGGATCCCGAATGCCATTCAGGTCTAGGAGCCTCAGCTCTAGTATTACTATCTGTATATGGTTTGTCTGTGGTATTCACAACGAATATTTGTAAACTCATCCAAAACTAACAGAAATACGGAATTCGTCCGTATCCGAAACCCGAACCGAATTGAATTTCAGATCCGAATCCAGAATCCCGAAATAACAAAATATCCGAACCAAATTTTTCTGCAGCTTACATGTCTAATAAGTACATTAGAAATAGATTTACAGATTTTTCTTACTAACTGCATTATTTTGCATTTTTTTTTTAATTGTCTATTGGAGAGGAAGATAAAAGTTCAGATTATCATCAGCTAAGATCACATGGCCAAATGCCAAGGCTTCTGTTGACCACTAAAGGTAGCCAAAAGTAGGAAGGTAAATATTCTGGTGCTTCTATTATTCCTTAGTGGCAGTTGTAAAACATGATGCATAACCTACCGTGAATCCTAGAGACAGGAGCAGCAACATTCTAATCCAGTGTAAATGTATGTGCAAAGCTTTAGATATTATGGACACACAGTCCTGTAAGGGACAGAGAGAAGGCAGAGTTTAATAGACATTCATGCCACATCATTGTGAAAAAAATAGAAGAATAAATCAAACCACATAAACTTTTTACTTACAATCTACATTAAAATCTTGCTACTACAACATGATATGGAGGATTCACTGGAAGCCACTTGCTATCTCTTAATTTTGCTTGAAAATCGGGTTCATACCCCCCCATCTTTTTTGTTCTTACCATCTTTATTGACTATACCTCAGACTGACAATACCTTCCCAGTGTTGGGCTGAAGCAGAGGCAAGAGAGGCACCCAACGCAGATGCTGTAGTGGTACACAGCTGCAGTTGGAGCCTCTCCTGCCTTTGTGCCACACAGCTGTCTCAGCAGTCAGCAGGACCAGGTTATCAAACTGACAGCCCAGCCCTGTGGATTACAGTGGGAGTGTGCTGTTTTATATTGTGAATATGTTCAATTGTTTAAATTAGTATTATGTGAAAAATGTCTGCATCCTAGCAACTCATGACGCCTTGCAGCCTGCTTGGATCCTAACTACCAAGAATGTCATTTAGTCGCAGTAGTAATAATGCCACTGAATGGATAATTTCCTGCTTGCAGCAGGCAGAGGTTCTTGTGGGTATCCAAATCTGGACATTCATTTCACTTGGTCCTCGAATCACAACATGAGAACTCTGCATGGCTGCAAATGCAAACCTCATCCCTACAACATAGCTGTTAGCAAACTCAATAAAGAGGATATAATCACATTGTAGCAGGTGGCCAGCTTTACATGGGAATGCCGGATGCAGTGTAAGGTCCTTAACTCCTTCATGACTGAGCTTGTTTTTAGTTTCTGTTCATTAATGACTGACGCACTTTTTACATTTTTGCTGTAAATAACGCTCTGCTATCAATGCCAGACACCCGATCCCTGTAAGGGATTGGGTGTCATTAAAAGCTTAACTTTTGCATTAATGGATGTCTCAATACTAAGGCATCTATTAATGAATGGTAGCCACTGATCAGCGGTTACCGGCATTACAGATCCCCAAATAGCTGCTCACGTACAGTGTACGTGAGCAGTCATTTGGGCACTTAGTGGCGGGGACGTACAAAGGGGTTAAAGAATAATTATTCTCAACCCTTGCAGTGGGCCTACCCCAGCACTGCAAGGGTTAAGTGCTCATTTTTGTCTCGGGACAAAAATAAAAAAAATTATACTCTCACAGCTGGCTGTTAGACCAGCCCCTGGAATTTCTCTCCCCCTTCACTCCAGCAGTCCAAGGTCATGTGAATCATCACCTCCAATACAGTGTAAAGGATGCAAGGACGCAGAGGGACATTCCTTCGCTGGAGCATAGACTGCAGGGACCGACCAATAGCGAGCTAGCCGAGAGGTTCAGATAAGTATAATGTTTTAATTTTCATACCTAGATGAAAACGAGCACTTAACCCTCACAGGGTGGGGGTAGCCCACTGCAAGCGTTAAGAATAATTCTGCCCAGAGTTCTTGTTTAGAGTATATGAAAACTCTAAAACTTGTTTGGGGGTATATTTGGCATCATGTCTCATTGTATACAGTTTTCTTAAGCAAATTGTGTTTTGTGACTGTGTTGCAGAGCTTCTTGTCTGGATATCCTGCTAGTAACAACACTTTTTGCTGCAGGCTAACAATGCTAAACCATGATCTCGCCATTACCAGAAGCGTGGCCAGTCTGCTGCTGTGCTGGCTATTTCAATTGGCCACTGGGCTGCATTGGATAGACCAGATATGCAGCCCAACAGTCAACGAAAGAAGAGAATACAGCAGCCTGACAACGCTGCTGCTAATTGTGAGATAGTGACCTAATCTCCAGGCAAGAAACTTTTCAATAGATTCACAACAAATGGTATATTGTGAGACATGCCAAATATTAAATGAAGGTTACACGCACTGCAGGCAGCTGCAATATATAGCCCCACAAATTCATAATCCAATAATACCTTTGCATAGTTACATCTCCTAGGTAAACCCTCCTTTATTGCACTCTTAGTTCTTCTGATTTAATAATTTGCACTGGCGTAACTGAATTGACGTAACTGAATTGTAAATTCCTGAACTAATTATAAATGCAGTACTAAAATGCAGAACTAAAGAATTCTTATTGAATAAGGCTGTTTGTTTCTGAGTATTACTACACGTAGCTGTGCTTTCTACTTGTATTACTTGCCCTTGTGTGATGATGTCTATCACTTAGTGACAATGCTGGAAAGCAATTTGCCTGCTGTAAGGGTTTGCAAACTTTGACTGCTTTAATACTTACTACAATGTTATTTGTATACTGTACAAAACAATTGTAAAGCCAAACTCAAGGCCAAACCTGTCTTTTCTCATATTACTTTTATTCGTTTTATTCTTATGTATGTGATCCTGTTATGGTGGTTTCACTAACCATTGACACGAGGATAACAATAATGGGACCAGGTGTCCTATACCAAGGTGACCTGTCCTATACCAAGAACATTTAAAAAAAGTGTTGCTGGTATTTGTGTCCCTATTGAATAGATTTACAGGTTTATTCACAAAAGGGTGAAGAGTTTGGAGAAGGCAGGAGAAGTGAACAATATAGGCCAAAATAGCTGATGTGGAAAAATTCTCCAATTCAGCTCACTTTCCAGTTCAGCTATGTTGTCCTAGATTGTTCACTTCTCCTGCCTTCTACAATCCCTTCGCCCCTTTGTGAATAACCCTGTTAATATCACTTGCTGCCTCTGTGACACCCTGTTAATGGACAAGATGTGAGGTCAAATTTCCCTGTGGGGGCACAGGCAGTAGTAAAAACCTGATAGAGGCTCTAACTAGGGGTTGACCGATTATCGGATCTACCGATAATCGTGGCCAATATTCACAAAATGTTTAAGTACCGGTCTTAAATTGACCAATATTACCAATACTGACAGTAAAGGGGAGCCTCCACCCCCACCCCATTTATCTGCTTGCGGCTAGATTCCACAGCCAGGAGCTGAATGTAAACAGCAGGCAGTGCAATAGACAATAGTAGGCTGGCTATTGCATCGCCCACTGCCTGCTCTTTACATTCAGCTGCCAGCTGTGGAATCTAGCAGCCAGCAGATGAATGGGGTGTGAGGGGATCTGCAGGGGCCATGGGGGGGTAGAGGCTCCCCATTCACTGCCACCACTAGTAGGGGTCGACCGATATCATGCCCACTGCCTGCTGTTTACATTCAACTGCTGGCTGTGGAATCTTGACCCAGCAGATGAACACATAGCTTTCGCAGCTGGGTGTAATCAGAATATCGCTACCGGATATCTGTTAATGGCCTAAAGGTGACCCACAATCAGTATCGGTTCTGAAAAATACATATGGGTCAACCCCTAGCCCAGCCTCAACCAGGGTTTTGTGGAACCATAGAGATCCTCCAGAGGTTGCTTGGGGTTCCTTGAGCAGTGAGCAATTACGGCCTCTCAGATCAGTAACCCCTGACTCCAATGATCGTTTTAGATATCTGTAACTAATGTATCATAAACTGTAGACATTAAAATTATTGGCAGGTGTTCTCTGACACATGAAAGTTATTTCAAGGGCTCCTTCTTGTTACAAAAGGATGAGGAACTCTGTTCTAACTCTTCCTCAGTCTATCCTGAACAATAAAAATATGTTTGCCGACACTGGAAATTAGAGTTTCATATGACAATAAAGGTATATTCTAAAAACAAAAAATCTGTATGCTCTCTTTGAACAGTGTTCAAGTTCAAAGTAAGGATTCTAGTCTTTCATAAACCCCTTTTAATTACTTTCATAACTTCACCTATGGGTCATTCTGTTTTTAAATGATATATATCTTGGCTAGATAATACACTAATTAAAATGTCCTATTATCTAGATGAAGCGTTAATTACGTCTTTTTACTAGAATGTAAATTACATGTCACCATTTCTGGGCCACTTTCATGCCAAGAACAGTATTCAATAGAAAACTGGACATACTTGTTCTTCTTCTCGGCTCTTGCAAAAATTGTGGGCATCAGGAATGTTCAGATGCCCCCCAGTCTTTCCACAGCACTGAAACTGAGAACATAACATAATTATTTGCATCTTGCAGCTGAAGCAGTGAAAAGAAGAAACAGACCAGCAAGTAAAGAAGGAAGCAGTGTTACAAGAATAATAATTTCCTTTTCCCATTGTATCCAGGGTTCTTGATGTCACTTCTAACAGTAAATGGAAGGTAGAACTTTTATTTCTGTGAACATGCTTACTATATCATGTGTTTCTACAAGCTGCTTCTTTGCTTCTTCAGAAGACCTCCTAAGAACCTGCTCGTAGATATCATCATACACGTCTAGGAAAGAGGCCTCAACCTGTAAAGAATTAGAGAGTTTTTATATTTTATTAGTCAGTTATTATTAATATATTATATTGTTGCAGCCAGAAGTGAGCTCTCACAAAGTCAAAATCTGCATACTGAAAGTGAGATATGTCCTGTCACTCATTCCTTTCCATTTACAAAATGAGTTTAACCTTGCATCTGAAGGGTGTGTGACACTATGTATAAATACATGGGCAGAATGTACATAAACCATAATGTGCATTTCATCCAGAATGACGCTACTTAATTAATAGCTAGATCTGGCTTTTGAGTATATCATATCTGGATCTCTTCCAGCATCTGTCTTCTAACCTAGGAGTGAGTCGGTCAGCCTACTAGGCTTAGTGTGTTGAGATTTCCTGTCAAGATTCTTCATCTGCTCGTGAATTCTACAGATTTACATTAACAGCTTGTTACACCATAATGCATAATGCAATGAATGTTGCAGTATACATATTTGCATACTTGTAAGATTTTTTCCCAAACCAATGCAAGTTGTTGGTGGGAAGAGTCCTTTATAAAACTTAGGATTTAACTTGCCTATAGCTTGTGTGTGAGGGAAACCCAGCAAAATACATGGCAATGAGCTTAGTGTGAGCGAGCCCTAAACCTTCGCTACATTATAGAGACCCTGTCAGGTCACTAAAGAAATCAAACTGACACCCTTCTGTAGTAGAAAAAATATTATACTAACCTCTCCAACAACCATGTCTCCTAAGACCCCTCCCTTACAGCGCTATAGCCTGCATCAGTTTTAGCACTGCCAGATAAGTCAGAAGCCTGTGTCCCCCTCAACTTTGTTGCCTGTGTGTGTTGTGCCTTTGTTCTGCATTGCTACAGCACAGAAGACAAAGATACTTACATACACTATATTGCCAAAAGTATTGGGACGTCTGCCTTTACACGCACATGAACGTTAATGGCATCCCAGTCTTAGTCGTAGGGTTCAATATTGAGTTGGCCCACCCTTTGCAGCTATAACAGCTTCAACTCTTCTGGGAAGGCGTCCACAAGGTTTAGGAGTGTGTCTATGGGAATGTTTGACCATTCTTCCAGAAGTGCAAAATACATGATCCGCTCATCTATGTCTTTATGGACCTTGCTTTGTGCACTGGTGCGTAGTCATGTTGGAACTGGAAGGGGCCATCCCCAAACCGTTCCCACAAAGTTGGGAGAATGAAATAGTCCAAAATATCTTGGTATGCTGATGCCTTAAGAGTTCCCTTCACTGGAACTAAGGGGCCAAGCCCAATCCCTGAAAAACAACCCCACACCATAATCCGCCCTCCACCAAACTTTACACTTGGCACAATGCAGTCAGGCAAGTACCGTTCTCCTGGCAACCACCAAACCCAGACACGTCCATCAGATTGCCAGACAGAGAAGCGTGATTGGTCACACAAGAGAACACGTCTCCACTTCTCTAGAGTTCAGTGGCGGCGTGCTTTAGACCACTGCATCCGATGCTTTGCATTGCACTTGGTGATGTAAGGCTTGGATACAGCTGCTCGGCCATGGAAACCCATTCCATGAAGCTCTCTACACACGGTTGTTGTGCCAATCTGAAGGCCACATGGAGGTTTGTAGCTATTGACTCTGCAGACAGCTTTGGACAAAGATCTCTTTTTGGGACCAGAATGATTCCTTAATTCATACGTGTCAAACTCAAGGCCCGCGGGCCAGAACCGCCCCACGACGGAATTATCTCGGGCCCGCCTGATGATAATTAATTATCATTAGATCGCCGCCGGCAGCTCTCTCACGCTGCCCGCGCCGATCTTCATGGGACTGAGGAGCCGGAGAGCTGTCGCCGGCCAGAGGACTGCATTACCTAGCAAGCAGCCAGGCCGCAGCACAGTGTGACAAGGGAGGTGTGGCGGTGAGGTGACTGAGAGGGATCCCGTGGTCCAGTCCAGATGACGTGAGGGAATCAGGATCCAACACAGACGACAGAGAGCTGCAGCCTGCAGCTACTGTGCTTTGACACTGTCAGTCAGCATATCACTCCCCTTCTTCTCCATGACTTCTTCTGTACTGTAGAAGTCATGGAGAAGAGGGGGAGTGATATACTGAAAGTAGTATCTGTGACACCTGTGTACCTCCTGCCTCTACACTAGTATGTAATCTAATAGTTTGATCTCTATTATTTAAATTGTAGTAAAAATGATGTGGGGGGAAGCTCAATGGGGACAGTATGGACTCCATACTGTCCCCAGTTAACATCCCCCTAACATACTTTTTTTTACTGTAATTTAAATAGAGATAAAACTATTTTTTAAAACATCTTATTGATGATTGTCCTGATCCCCCACTGATATCTCCCCTGCACAATGAGGAGAGAAAGCAAGGGAAGAATCCACAGAAGCAGGCACAGGATGGAAAAACTTTTTTGTAAGTAAATTCTTTTGTTGTAAATGCTCTGTACTATTTAATGTCTGTTTTTGGCTTTTATTATTTAAATATTTAGGCTATTTCTTCAAGGGAAAGTAAATAAAAAAGTTAAAAAATAAAGTTTTATTGTAATTATGTATCATGCTTTTTAATAATTAAAAGTACAGCCTTTGTTATTATACCGTGTGATATACTGTATATGCCAGTGTATTATACTGTGTGATATACTGTATATGCCAGTGTATTATACTGTGTGATATACAGTATGTGCCAGTGTATTATACTGTGTGATATACTGTATATGCCAGTGTATTATACTGTGTGATATACTGTATATGCCAGTGTATTATACTGTGTGATATACAGTATGTGCCAGTGTATTATACTGTGTGATATACTGTATATGCCAGTGTATTATACTGTGTGATATACTGTATATGCCAGTGTATTATACTGTGTGATATACTGTATGTGCCAGTGTATTATACTGTGTGATATACTGTATAGACCATGGTATTATACTGTGTGAACCAGCCCGGTCCTTGACTTGGAGCATTTTTTAAAATTTTGGCCCACTATGTATTTGAGTTTGACACCTCTAACTTAATTAGTGACTGGAATGGTTCTCAAAAGCTTGGTTACTGGTGAGGTGTGAGGCTGTGGTTAACCACTGTGGTCAACCCTAGGAATGTTTATTTATTTGATGCTGCTCATGTACAGTGGCCACCAACAATAAGGACAGTAAGGCTAAGTACAACACATGAGTGATATGTGCTGGTTATGTGTTTAGACGAAGCACTGAGATCTTGAGGAATGCTGAATTAAGTTTTACTTGCTTATAAGAACATTACATCTGAAATATATTATCTTCTCCTTTGGTTGTCCTGACTCAGTAGAGGTTCATTCGCTTGAGTCATGCCACTGAAAATTGTCTGCAATTGCAGTATGCATGCCACATATACTTGCTTCTATTTGTACTGCCAGAAACAATTGTGCACAATTTATTTTGTAGTCATGGCATTGCTTAAAAACCTCTGTCTGGTTACCTGTTTGAGATAGATTCCCTCGTTGCTTGTCTATTTGTGTCCCTGTCTGCAACAGGGTCACAAATAGATATACAAATCTAGCAGGTCTAGCCTCACCCTACTCTACTAAAACCAGTCAATTTTATTTCAGTCTGTGTTGCTATTGCAGATTATACGTCACTTCCTGTGTGGTAAAATGAGGAACAGGAAGTGAGGGCAAATTTCTGGATATCTGGTAAAAACCCCAAAACTTCCCCATTCTATCCAAAACTCCAAAGAAACCTTTTGGCTTGACATACACATTGGTCCATTTTGGCCATATTAAAGTGTCATTGAAGAACAAGGCAGTGGAGGAAACTATTGCTTCTGTTGCTAATTTATCTTGAAAGCTAACATAATAGTGTCAGGCAGTGACCTCATTTAGGGCCCAACTCCAGAAATGGATTTACTGCCTATAGTTTCTTCTGAAACAGACGCTTTATGGATTGTCAATCCCCTGCTATGCTTGGTGGTTTCTCCCGCCGACATTGATGTCAATACTGTGTCTTATGTGCTATTTTACTTTTAAGGTGTGCAACAGAGCCGCTTTAAATGTTTTTTAAAGAAAATTTGCGCTTACATACAAAAGAGTTACATGGCACAATGAATGAGTAGTATGATCTGAACAGATGGGCAAATGTATTGCTCATAGAGACTTGAGTCAAGTGGCACAACTGTACTGTACACCCGAGTTATAAATGACCCCTTTGTCTGGTAGCTTCTCCTATTCTTGCTGACACCATCACAGCTGAAGTACTAATTTGTAGTCTCTCTTCAGTAACCGCAGAGTAATATTACAGGGGGGAAATGCTTTGCTTTTGTAACTGCTCTTCTCAACTCCATGAGAATTACTAAATATAAACAGCTGCTATCACCCCCAGTAATCTCTCATGTATCCCACTCACATAAAGTGAATGCAAACCTATTCTGGAGTATGTTGGGTATCATGCCTCACTGTATATAGTATTTTTAAGAAAACATTTTTTTATGTGCATCTATTGCAAAGTTTACTACCTGGAGATCCTACTAGTAGCAGCAGTTCCTGTTGCAAGCTGACACAACGCTAAGCCACTGCCAACTAGTAAGCAGGTGCGCTGCCAGCCTGCCGTGTATGCTTCTTCAGTTTGCCATTAAAACACCTATCAGGTCTCATCTATTAGATAGGTACACCCGTGGGCTGAACGAAGAAAATATAACAGACGACTCCAACGCTTACCAGCGTTGATGGAGGAATCTCCCACTGTCTTCATTGTATTCTGACGGTCGCCAGCCGCTGTCAAAATACCCAAACAGAGCCAGTGTATGGCAGGTTTAGGGTTCTCACGGCAGGCTGACAAAGCTTCGCCTAGATCAGTGTATTTCTACAGTGGTTACAGCCATGTTAGTTATGGATAGGAAGCCTGGTAAAATGAATGACAGGCTGAAACTATCCAGCTGTTTACACGTAGTCACTCAAGAAGGTGGCTAGGGATGCATGGGTGGCCCTGTATGCAGACTGTTTGCATCCATGGACACTCATCTGTCTCACCTGGCCATACCCTTCATAGAAATACTCTGATTTGGGTGGTATACAGCAATGAATGGCCGTGTAATTGAGCCCTAAGGATTAGAAAATGAATTGATTGGTTCATTTTTACAATGAGATGTAGCGCTCACCCCCGAAGGAGCCGCTGAATATTGAAATAGGTTCTCCTACCTGTTGGTTCCAGCTGCCAGTCCCCTTTGATCAGCAACAGCACACCGACACTCACGGACAGAACGGCTCGAGTCTTAGGGTCTTTTTAGGGTATTTATTTGCAACATCAATAGGAGAGAGAGGATTTAGGGTCTGTAGGATGCCATAGGAAATACTTCGGAGGACAGCTTTCTCCCTTAGCAACTGCTAATGCTGATATCGCTGTGATGTGGCCCCAAGGACCAATAGTAGTAATACTGTGAACAGATACCTGGAATAGGGTGAGGGCTCTCCCTTGTGGGTCCCAGACGGACGCTCGCACCAGCTCCTCTGCGGTACCCCTCAACAAGCGGACTCCTCCTCTGACCCAGCTTCCATCAGGTATTTTCCTCTTTAGGATCTGGAACTTCTGTGCCCTCAGCATCTGCAACTGCCAAGGAGCACTCCAGTTAAATGAGAGTATCTTCTTAGAACAAGGCACCCAACACCTGCCACGTGTATGGGCCCAGTGAAGTATCAGTGTATCCTTAGGCCTCCAGGCCCCTCAGCACCTGCCATGTGCTGAGGCCCAGGCTGCTTGCTCTGCATCACACACAGACCTCCTAGGGCGAGGCCCCTAGGGGAAGAGAGCTCTCCACAATGTCCCCAGACCTTTTATTACCTGCCCTCAACCATGCCTCTGAGTCATCCTACTCAGGGATTGGCTAGGGCCAGGTGCATAGTCATAACCTGAGGGTGGATCCTCCCTCACTGTATGCCAAGGCTCCCTTTTCCTCAGCAACAGGAGGAGCAATCGATCCAGCAGATTCAGGGACACCTATAGAGTGCAGAGCTCTGTATAATCAGTATCTAGACTGGTTACAGTCCAGGTATCTCTAAATTGAATAGCGACATTTTAGAGGGCGCTACAGAGACATTTCATTTGTGTTACTCCTGCTCACTATATATAGTACATGTGTCTGGTTTTTGATAGTCAGTGATGTCAAATTATAATCCTTAACACATCACACATTGGCTCGAGATTGAGAGATAGAGAGGCTATTAATTAATAGCCAGTGTTGCATCCTAGCAAGTGAATTATTCTATAAGGCTGGTGGGGTGCGGTATAATTATCACTGCTCATGCACTTTCCATACGGATGTATATATAGCTCAGTATCATAGCTGCAAATCATCTCTGGTTTTCCAAAGCTTCATGCCTTTTTTTTTTCCTTAGAAATGCTCCTAATTTTTAGAACTATAGCAAAAATCGCTCTGTTGCTTTTACGGTCTGGGAACCAGGGCACTGGTGCACGGGTTTTGTGGAGCAGGTTTAGAGTAGCAGGCTGGAGGGAAGTCTGGGGTACAGGGCAGAGGACTCAGAAACTAGGGGTCTGTGTGTTATCGGGGGCGCACCAGGGGTGCAGGATCTAAGAAGGTCCATATCTTCCACAGCAACCCTAATGGCGAGAATGATTGGCTGCTGGACACCTTCCAGGTTGCGGCCCTCTAGTGCACCCGCACAGACTCAGGAACTGATGCAGCACTGGGGCTCTGGTTGCAGGGCAGACAGGGGCAAGGCCTGTACACACACACAGCAGTACAGCTGCTTTACTTGAATAGGTAAGTATATCTTCTCTTCTTTTACAGGGCGTTACTTTTACGCAAGTGACCCTGTGGTTATAGGGGTTGATGGGTTGGTACACCCAAAGCTGACATTTCAGTCTTTGGTAGCCTTTGGAAAGTTAAACCATCTGATAGTTTCTTAGATCTTTGGGAATCTATTGGTGAGATTTCTGCTCTTGAGTTCCCAGGTCTGCGCACCAGCTGTGGCTTAAATAAGGGGTTCTCCCCACTGGATTTTATTTATTCATTACTATGGAGAACACAATAACGGGTGCAGGAACATGCACAGATGGTGGAAACACTGAAACTACCAGGTAGACTGGAATTTATGTGTTGCAGTAAAAGGTTTTTGACCAGGCTCCAAATACGTGGAATTTAGTACCTTTACTTCCCTTATGGCAACGCAGGATTTCATAGCCATACACAAGTGGAGTAGAAAAAAATAGGGGCTGTGTATTGTCAATTTTCCTTGTTAGCATGTCACAGCTGTCAGTCATAGAGGTAGGTGACGAAGCAGTATGTCTTCTGCTAATTCCTCTTGATGTTAAAACTGTGAGGGGCGCAGACATTACATTTTTCTATGTATCTGGTTTACGAAAGTAGCTAACTTTTATTTCATTAATATCGCTTTCTAACCTCCGTAGTTAGAGCTACCTTCCTATCATGATGTCCTATGTATAGACCAAAAAGTGCTTGACAAGGGTATTTCAGAAGTAGCCTGTCCAAACCAGAACCTTCATTTAATATCAAAATTAAATATATATAATAACCCTGTAATAACATAACATAACAAAATAAGACAACTATATAATTAAACAACTGGTTTCCAGGTCCTTCAAGGCACATAACGTAACAAAGCCACCCATAACCTGAATCTGTGGCCTCAGGTAACTAACAATAGGCCCCCAGCCGCAACACCACCGCCTCAGGGACAATATCTTTCAACACTTTCAGTCTAAAACTAAGTGGTCACATCCAACACAAGGGTCCAGCACCAGGACGAAAAAAGGGGTGGGTGGGAGAGGAGGAAAACTCTCAGAAGTCTGCAACTCTTTTAACTGGAAACTTCTTACACCTGCCCACGGAACACCCTTTACTAAATTACTACCTACAGAATTTATTTCTAATGTGGTAAGCGACCCCTCCTTCTAAACTCTCTCTGAACTAAACTTTTAACTCTTTGTGCCTAGCTCCCTTTCTCCCCCTGTCATGCTGTCCCGCCACACAATTTCTTCCCTTTCATGTGCTACAGGCCTGTCTTTATGAGACATGTCCCTCAAAATGGGTCTCATGTCCTGTCGCATGCCTCAGCCTTTTATTGGAACCAAGAAGTTTCACAGCTCTAGTAGTAGAAGTAGAATGCCGTTTTTCAGCATCTCTGGCTGGGAAGGGAATATTTTTAACCCTGCTTAGATCTTTCCTGTGTATGGTCTGCCTACATTCCTAAACCTAACTTTCCAAAGTATATATATAATCTTAATGAAACTATTTATTGAGGTTACATGTATTCAATGATTTTGCTTGAATGCACAGACTGTACTTACATTCCATATGTAATAAAATATAACAAATATCATATGAACAGAATAATCAATCTACCTGGTTTTTACACTCTTGGGTCCAGGTTATTCCAGTCATCAGTATACAGAACAGGAAGCCAAACCCAATGAATGCCTGCAGAAAAGGAAAAGACCGCACAATAAAAATAAAATTAAATATACAGTTCAATAATTCCCAAGACAACCATAACATTGTGTGGTATATAATGGCGACACCTGTTGGCTAGGCTGGATATTGCAAGCACTTGTTATGGAACCAGTAACGTTAAATTTAATTGCACACAATGCAAACAAAGTTACTTAGCTACTATGGGGCATATTTGTAAAGAGTAATTGCTTCCCTGAACTAGAGGAAGGTTTGTCACATGTTTAAAACACTTTTGTGTCTTACCCCAAACCCAAATGCGCCACGGACCCAAATACCTTCCTTACTAGAGTGCAAATGCTATTGCATAACCAGTAATTGTGGTAAAATGCTAGAACGTTAATATACCTGGATTCAACATTTTGGTATGAATATGCCCTCAAAGTATATTGAAAGCCCAATTTGTTTTGTTCTGTATAGAGTAGGAAATGGTATAACCCTTGACTTTTTCATGCTAGTTGTGTCCAGTTGAGAAGAATTCCTTTCACCCCCTCTCCTGGAGTCACAACAAGAAGTGGAAAGAAATCTCTCCGAACTAAAGAAATCCCCTCTTAAATACTTGTCCTTAAAGTGCCCCAGTTTAAGTTTTCAACTCTTTACCTGTTCTGATGAGAACTAAAAATTTTGGATTTCTTTCACTTTTAGTCCCAGTGATACCGGTCACTGATGTCTAACTGGGAAAACTGGTTCATATTGGGCACACTTACAGGGTTTCTAACCCCTCACCACTGTATCTTAAACATAAAGGTTTTGGCTTGGGATACACTTTAACTGTATTATGAGTGCTTATCAGGGCTGGATTTCTGTGTAGACAACATAAGCCATGGCACAAGGTGGCAGTGCTGCCAGGGGTGGTAAGCTATGGACTTCCCACATCAGAGCGTGTGTAATAACAATAAGAATGATAGTAAATATTTTTTATAGTTCCCTCCCAGGGTAGTTGCAGGTTCCTAAATTCTTCTTGGCGCTAGGAACCTTGAACTGGAAATGAACAATGTCACACATCTGGCATCAATAATAAATATATAGTCCTGATTGGGTATCATCGATTATTCTTCGTACCAAGTTGCCAAATGAATTGGTGGGGATTTGTCTCTGTCCCACTAGAATTGCTTTTTGAATGTATTAATTTGTTTTCAATAAAACGGTCAATGAGTTGACATTGTGGACTTTGTTATGTGACCAAATAAAACTCATTCATGTTAACTATTAGCTTCATTGGTATTAAAATTATTAGCAGCACTGTATAGTACCAGTGGAGGGCAGCATAGATTTACAGATGTTACCCTTATAGTGAGTCAGAATTTAGCAACACACTAAAACTCACCTTAGGTATAGGGGCCAACAATGTTTAGCTTGCTTTATTCCCCCCGGACTTTTTGTTTTGCGATTTCACAATTTACCACAATTGTAAAAGCTTGTTCAAGAGCCTAGCAAGCTATTTCCATGATTTACTGTATTGTTTTTATTCATTTTACCTTTTTCTATTGAAATCTGCCACATTTATAAAGCTGCAAATGTGGAAATTGTGTTGACACCGTGTAGACCAATGCTTTTAAATAGATGGGACATCCATTATTTTGTTCACAAAATCCCTTGCGTACTAATGACGGAATCAGTAATTTGTAACATTTTAACTTGCATGAATATTTTGCTGATCTGCATGGAACCCAGGCATTATTCATCCATGAGTGAAAAATGTGTAGAGATGTGTGCCTGCCCTTGGTCACTGAATAAAACAATCCCAGTAAATTATGCACAAATGGATAAAAATTAGGATAAAAGAAACCTCACCCAAAAAGCTAATAATAAAATACACAGTGATAAGGCAAATGTAAAATACACTGGATATCCAAAGAACATTCTGTAGCCAGTGATAGAGCCCAAAAAAGCCTTGGGCGAAGGGAGACAACAAATGAAAAACAAATATTTGCACTGAACTAGTGTATGACAAGGGGTGTGCCACCAATGAAACCAACTGGGCTGGCTGCAGCATGGTGGGACGGTGCACTGAGGCCATAGTGTCCATACCAGACATCAGTGCAGTACAGTTATATGTAGAACTGTAAAACTATGTAGGAAATGCTTTAACATGTTATAAAAGGCATTAATGAAGGGAGAGAACCATCAAAATGAGTTGTGATGACTGATTCAGTTTGAAAACCTCCCACAATTTTTTTTATTACCCTGGACATATGAATGCAGATTTGTGAAATCTACAGAGGATCTTACAACTGAATAATTATGGTTGTCTGAGTTCCTAATTTGTGTGATTCTCTGCAGATTAGGCAGATCACCCCGCAAATATCCAGGAGAATTAGAAAGTGACCAACCAGAGACTCTTCTGCTGCTTTTTTTGAAGTATAAACAGGGCCGGTGCTAGGATTCTAGGCAAGGTGGGCAAGGTGCATTTATGCGT